AAACTCGGGGCGAAGTACTCTGATATTTGACTTCTCGATTTTCCAACCTCTCCTGCTCAGCAATTGTTGCAAATAATCAAGTTCTTACAGAAGTTCCCAACGACAATGGTTGTCCAAACTAAAGCTTTATTTTCAGCTTTTAGATTATGGCGACCGGCGAATGCCTTACTGTATATTGGTCCCTGAACATCCTTTTTTCTCACTGAAGCGTGTCTTTTCTCCTTTCATGTTGAACTACCTCGGACTACGGACTGCAGCGACAGGAGCACATTCGTAGCGCATAAAAGCTCAGTTTCTGTTTACCTTTACCATACCGCCGCATTACCTGTGGATCGTATTTATGGTTCACCGTATCACACTTTTCTATTCCAAATTGTGAATGTAGCAAAAGTTTTGTAAAAGAAAAGGTCGTAGCTATGGAGTCCGCTGACAACAAGCGTTTAAGAAAAGAGCAAATGAAATTACGGAAAATGAGGCGGTGGCGTTTAGTTGTGCGCAACCTGCCCTTCTCGGTGAGTGTTTTTCGTTAGTCCCGCATTCCGCTTTACTGTACCCAGTTTTAGGTGACCGAAGAGACTGTTAAAAAGATTTTCTCCCCTTACGGTGCAATCTACGAGGTACGCTTGCCTATGAAAGGTATTCGAGTATATTGTATTGTTTACCACCTTGCAATAATTCTTTCAGACGGCCGTGCCGCCGGATTCGCTTTCGTGCAATATATCAACTTCCCCGACGCGGTTAAGGCTCTAAAAAACATGAATGCCAAACTGGTTCAAAGTAAAAGCGTTTTAGCTGATCTGTACATTTCAGCGATTGTTTCTCAGATCGAACAGTCGCTATCGACTGGGCGGTTCCAAAGGAGACCTACGTAGCTGCACAAATTGAAGGTAAGCATTCTTTCAATAACGACGAATTTTTCTGCCTGCAACGTGTTCACTAACTTGTGTAGAAAAGTGCAAATCGGAAAATTCCCAAGTCGAAAGTCGTGTCTTAAAAAAGTTGGAATCTTCCGGGGCATTGGGTCAACCATTCGTTGAATCCTCCAGTTTCAAATCGGAGGATCGAGCGCAGGAGTCAAAGGACGCTGAGGATCCTACGGAACCTGCAAAGAAAAGGTCGAAACTATCAGAAAAGCCGACTAAGAATGTGGCAGACAAAGGAATTTCCGATGGCCGAACATTATTTATAAGGCAAGAGGAAATAGGCATTGCGTTTAGATTTCTTCAGCGTTTCAGGAACTTGTCGTTTGAAGTAACCGATCAGCAGTTGAAAGAGTTTTTCGCCAACTACGGACCCGTAAAATATGCCCTTGTTTGTCGTTACAAAGGAACAAACCATTCCAAAGGTTTTTCTTCTCCCTTTGGTTACGTGTGATCTCACATTGTGCTTCAGGAACTGCATTCGTCCAGTTTTCCGAGAAGGCCTCTGTGGATAAGTGCTTTCAAGCCGCAGCAGTATGAAATCCTGCGCGTGCGTACCAAGCAAGTTTTTTCAGTGGCCTTTTTTAGAATGGATTGTTAACAATGGGATCGAGTACTGTTTCATTGTGCCGGGCAGTAACTCGAGAAGATTTGAACAAGATAAAGCTACAAAGGGCACAGGAAACAGCAAAGAAGCCGAAAGATGTGCGCAACTTGCATTTGCTCAGTCACTCTGGTAGGAATATCCTCAAATTGGGCTTTCCCAACTAATGTGTTCGTTACGTGCTAGTAATAGAAAAAGAGTCGCCGCATGCTGAGACTATGTCCGCTGCTGACAAAAGGAGAAGAGAAAGGATCGAACTTGCCAATCAAGCCAAGCTTAGAAATTTGAACATTTTTGTTAGCACTTGTCGCCTCGTCATACACAATTTACCACTTACATTAATGGACAGTCAGTTAAAATCTATATGCTACAAAGCAGTTAAGAATGACACTGCGAGAATCAAGGAGGTGAGCTAAACTTTTGTTTTCGCCTGTTCACGAAAGCATTTGCAGTGTCGCATAATGAGAGATCTAAATCGGGTTAACAGCGATAACATAGGTCGTTCTCTGGGATACGGCTTTGTCGAATTCACGGAGCATGAGCATGCCTTATGCTGTTTGAAGGCGTTGAACAATAATCCCGACATATTTACAGACGAGAAAGTAATCTTGGTGAACTGCATGTGGTTCTGTAAGGATGGAGTAATACTTTTTTTTACAGAGACCGATCGTTGAGTTTTCTTTGGAGAATAAACTGGTCCTTGATATGAAGAAGCAGCGTCAGGAGCGTGCTCAAGTAATCATGCGAAGATTATTTAAAATATTTCCTTTCATTCAAAAATGCTCTTTGCAGGCCAGACAAAAAGCTGCGCTTGCTAATCGGACTGACGAGCTCACTGAACGGAATCGTAAATTGATTCCGAAGAATGATCGAAGTAGTGAAGCTGCAAAAAGAGCAGAAAAGCGGAAGGAGAGACGTTTGTTTTTCACTAACAGAGCTGACTGGTTTGCTCACAAGAAACGCCAAAAGATTAATAAGAAACTGCAGAAAGGACGCTTACGAAAGTCTCATTTCAAAAAGGCTGACAATAATCTCCCTACCGCTAAACCTGTAAATGTATTGAACGCGAAAAGTTCCCGTAGAGTAAGATAGTTGTTTTTTTCGTACGTTTAGGCTAAGTCGACAGCCGAAGAATCTGTGAAGTCGCGTAAGACACCTAACCAAGTCCACAGATGGTATAACGATTAAAACTGGCTCGTTGTTCTGACGTTCAGTAGCGCCTGCGCTTAAAAGACAAAGCTGTTACCAGATGTAGGCTGTTTCCAAGTTGACCGAACCATCCCCAAAATTAAACACTATTGATTTGTAAGAGGTGATTCACTGATGGGATGGGCAGGAACCATTTGAATTTCCCTGCTTCATAGTTGTGCGTTTGTTCTAATTCGTCGCAGCCCTCTGCTTAGTGAGCCAATCTATGTAGCCTTTCCTAATATAAGATTCAAGAAGAACCTGATGTTGTAAAATTTGCTAAGTCATGTCCAGATGGGCGTTTTGTTAATTGCAGAGTAGCAACCGACGTAGAATTTCAAGATTCACGTCAGTCGGTAATGTTACGCTTAACTAATGGTTTCTTTTTAAAGCCAATTGCCATCTGAGCGATTTTGTGCCTTATTGGAACAGTTACGAATCATGAAGACAGTTGATAGGTTCGTAACGCCTTTAGATCGATTTGCTACTGAAGCGACTATGCAAATTGCGTGATTTTAGCCAAAGTCATGTACAGAATTAAGTTACTGCTTTCGTTAGATAAATTTAATGGTCGCCTTACTGAACGCTATTACGTTACTGTATCCTATAAAATTGCAAATGGCGCAAATGAAAGAAACGATGCACTTTAACTTCTGTCATGTGGGCTACCAGTGAGAACGACTTATGAGAAGTTGACTAACCTGTGCTGCATTGTCCAACGTTTATTTCTTAATTCCTCCAAATTTTAAGGCTGACTTAACAACGACTGTATGAGCGAATACGTGAAACAGTTCCCTTGTCATGAAAAGTGACCGAACATTTGCATATGCCGTTTATATTCTCCTTTAAAAGCATTACATAATGGTTTACGGAAGTTTATTTATATTTGGGAAGATTTCGGTAAACATCTGTTGCCGTCTTCAGCCCGTAAGTAATGGCAGAGGGCACCGTCGTAGTCCACTGCTCAGACTGATTACTTTACAGGGCAGAGTTAATGAGATCTTTAAAAACAGGCAACACTTTTAAAAAAGAAGAGAAAAGAAACAAGGAGGACAGCGATAAAGAAAGGAAGAAACGGAAATTAATATTTAAAAGCATTCACGCTTGAATTGTACGAAATCGTAAAAATAGGCTGCGGAGGCTTCATTGATAGAGAACGGCTATTTCTCCCTGTTAACTGTAAAGTTATGTAAAAGCAGTTCTTGCAAATGCTGTGTCGACTTTATTGAACATAAGGCAACTTATAACAGAGATTCACAGTTCATTAACCAGTGAATCAGCATCTAAAAAGAATTTCACTGTACAAACAAAGACGACGGAGGTGATTTACATGTCCTTGTAGTGTAGTGGTTATCACGTCTGCCTCACACGCAGAAGGTCCCTGGTTCGAACCCAGGCAAGGACAGTGGAATTTTCCTATGCAAATTAAAACCACTGGAACTCGTCCACCTCGTTCCACAATCGAATCGTCTCTGAAAAATATGTTAACCGCTCATTTGTTAAGCCCAACAGAAATTAACCACCCGTTTAAGTAAGAAATGGGCTCAGACCAAAACTTAGCACTTGCTTCATTTGCAGCAATGGACTCTGGCATTCCAGAAGGAATCGATATTGAGTAATTTACATAAACATGACATTAAAAGCGGATTATGTCTGTCCTATTTAGAGCTTTGTAATTCCTTACAGGAAATGTAGAACTCTTCCTCGCAACACGCTTTCACTTTTCTAAACAGAGATAACGTACTTTTCAGTCGACGTTTTTCGCCTGGTTCGTAAGTAATCGTTTCATCGGCGCTCAGAAATGGCAAAGCAGTTTAAGTCTATCGGTGCAAATGACAATCTCAGCCTGAGCCATGCATCGTTTCTTTTTTCCAAGTAAACGCGATCAAAAAGCAGAAAGTGTTTTCATATTAGTCATGACCGTTACTATCGATTCTAAGCATTGGAGAATCTGGCAGCTTAAAGGAAAGTTCTTGAAACAATCAAACTATGGCACGGATTAGCTATCGTATGAGGGAAAGGAAAACGTACCTGCACACCTTGTTGACCCAATGTTGCCCAAAGACGTTCGCTAGTGTTCATATTGTTTTACAAGGGTACATGGAGGAACCAATGGAAGCGTCCACAGTTTTCCAGCATTCCAGTTGTCTCCCTGACTATCATCATTTGGTCGACCTAATTACCGCCCTTGAAGAATCTGTCAAGCAGAATCAGCGAAGCCGTACGACGCAGGGCGCTTCCAAAAAAGTGGAAAGATTATTTAGGACCTTGATTAAATGTAGTATTTCCTCACATTTCAGCCGAAGCGTCGGCGCCATCGCGTATGTGTTTCGCAGGTATCCGAAGCTCAATGCGGCGAAGTCCCCAACGATAAAGCCGTACAGTTTTGCAAGCGAACTGCGGCGGCCGGAAGGTCCAGCTCGGTGGACGAGGACAAGCGTTGCCGTTGGACAGTGGAGGTGATTAGTGTTCGCTGTTTAAAAAACTATTTTGAACAAAGTCGCCACCGGTCAGGCTGCTGCTGAAATGAGTATTAGCGACAACGAAGTTAGTACAAATACTCCATTGTGGAAGGGTAATCCGCGGATCCAGATGAACTCGTGCAATGTGACCGAGTCAGATGGACTGTTAACGGACATTGCCGGGCCAAACTTGTCGAAAAGGAGGCGCCGTTTAATTAAACGCATTCTTGTGGAAAAATGCTTACAAACTAACAATAAGTAACCGAACATTACATGATGTATGTTCATAACTCTTTATTTAGTAAAAATCAGGAGGAGATGGATGTCGACTTTGATACCCCTTCGGTTTCAACAAGTGCATCTGCTCTCCGGCTGCCCATGCGTTTTTGCTCGGAAAGCAGCATGGAGCTGGACGGAGGGTTGGCTATCAGAGCGCTTCTCTCTTTCCGTTTACCTCGTAGTTTTTTTAAGCTGTAATCGCCCAGTAGGTACGGAGAGCGATGGAGACGTAAGTACAGGTGACAATGGTAACGACGGCGACGATGAGCAGAGTGATTGGTATCACGATGGAAGCTCTCTGATGACAGAGAACGAGTATCTCGGTGTTCCGGACTTTAAGGCATATGCATTGGCAAAAATAAATGTTGCGGTTGTCAAAAGTCGATTGATAAGAGCCGCTTCTTCGGAAACCGATGCTGAAGCACCAGCCGTGACGAAACGTACTAGAAGAGACATTGGCCCTGTTCGTAATTGAGTAAGTGTATTTAACGGGACCGTCAATAAAGCTGATAAGCTCCTTTTGTGGGTATGTTGTCGGATTTATTGAAATGTTGTCTTTGATATCTCGTTTTCCGCGCTTCCAAGAAAGCTTTCCGGCGAACGTACGCGCTATCGCATAGATATTCTGCTGTTCAATTCAGCCGACCAATCCCATTTTTCAGGGCAGTTTAAAAACCTTGTTTTCAGAAAAATTCTTCAAAATTTGCTATGCAGAATGTACCATTGTCGAGATACAACTATTTGTCCAACGTAACGGCACCGACGAAGCTCTCTTGTTTAGGTGCGTGCAAATTTGAGGAACTCAAAAGCTGTGCTTTTTAGGAACGAAAAAATCAAGTCGCGGCAATAGACAACAGCGAAACATGTTTTAAATACCAGAGCAGTTCAATGCTTAAAGCTAAGCGAAAGCCATTGTCGTGAGCCATTGTTTGAATTCTTAAACAATAAGCTTCGTCAAATGTACTCTAAATTGCTTGCAGAGCAAATAAGAAATACTACGCTTCTATCTTGTTGCGTTTTATTCAGTACCACGTTGAATATACGGCAAAACTACTTTGTTTATTTTCAATAGTATTAATTTTCTTTGTGACTCATCATTAGATACGCAGAGTAGCGTATGCGGGTCTCTTCCTCTATCTGCCCGCAAATAATACAGTAACCTGGCAATAATCAGGTTTTCTCTGCTCGTAAACATACAGTAGGATAAATAACACGATTTTGCGGTTATGCGTCCTCCCGTTATGCTGTGACTTCGCCGGCCATCCTGTCCTGCCCTTACCTAAGCCTAAACCTACACATAAGGCTTACATTTTGGCTTAGGCTCAGGCCAGGGCAGAACAGGATAGCCGGCACGCTCGTTAATAAAGGCAGAACAGGAAGGCCATACGCTTAACGGAAAGGAACCGTGAACTTCTCAGACATTACGCGCGAAAAATCGAAAATCGATGTTGTTTATCCTACTGTATGTTTACGAGTAGAGCAAACCTGATTAGCGTCAGGTATACTGTATTGTTTGCGGGCACACACAGGAAGAGACCCGTGCATCAGTTTTATTTCACATAACGTTTACTTTCCCGTCCCGCTATTGTTTTGTAATTTTCCCAATTTTTTTCATTCGCTAACGCTGTGGGTTCCAAATTTTTCTTGCAAACGCTTCTTTACTTCAATTGAGAATACGTAGTTGATCACAAATTGGCTAATGTATACGCTAGAACAAAGTTTTATAACAAATCAGTTTTCATTAATCTGCCGCTCAACCTGAACGTTGGTTCTGTAGAGGAGCGACGCCTGAGAACTATATATACTGCGAACTTGAAGATAGAGTTTACTGTACAGAGTTAGAGAGGTTACGGTGAAATAAAAGTTGGTTCTGTTCGTGGTCTCTTCTAAGATAGTTCCGCGACAGTTCCTTCTGTGCTGATGATGGGATAACAGTAGTGCCGAAAGCTATGGATAATAAAAATTTACTTTACAACCCTCAAAATGGAAAAAAGTTCGAAGACCGTTACAAGACAGAATTATTCTATTTTCAGCCGCTAAATCGGCTTATTCATTAATTCAGGTTGGCATACAGTAAGTAAAGATTGCGCAGGTGGGTTTTGTACAGCATCATGGAAATTGAAGCTTGATAAGGATTGTCGCGTAGCGAATGCTTTGCTCGTTTTGAGTTGCTTGCCTGTGTTGCAAACAGCTCAAGTCGCACAGCGCCATGGAAACTGCTTTGCCACAAAACATCAGGTCACTACATGGTATGCTTAACTGTAAACTGATTACACACAGTTTAAACCATGATATATGGGCAGAGCCTCAGAGCTGTAAAATCAAGGTGATTCGAGCTAGTAGCAATTGCAAGGATTAAAGCAGTTTGTCAACTGGAAGTTTCTCTCTTTTTCAATGCGTGAGAGAAAGTGGATTATCTGGCAAGCTTGGCCATGGCTTGTTGTTAGACAGGAAGGGAAGATATTTTCTTAGCGAACTGGTTGATGCATTCAAACGCGGGACTTGGGCTAAACGCATCGCTAAGCAGTTCAGTTCTTACTGTAGTCTTTGAGGTAGACGGAGGACGACGAGGAGGAGGAGAAGAGTTGGCGGCGAATGATGGCACTCTTTCACCCGGTAACCCATGTAATTTTTGATATGGATGGATTGTTAATTAACACCGAAGATCACTACACGGAAGCACACAATATGCTGCTGAAACGATTCGGCAAAACGTTTACATGGGATTTGAAAGCCCAGCAAATGGGCCGCTCAGAGAGAGACGGATTTCAGCTGGTTATCGATCAAATGCAGTTGCCCGTTACGCTGGACGACATGATAGCCGAAATGACGACGTATATGGAGCAGCTTTTCCCAAATGCAGTGCTGATGCCCGGAGCTGAACGATTGGTCGTCCATTTGTCCAAACACAACGTACCGATCGCCCTTTGTTCCGGATCGAAAGCCCACTTTTACGAAATGAAGACCGCTAAGCATAAGCAAGTTTTCGACCTGTTTCACCACCGAGTACTAACACCAGACGATCCTGACGTTACTCACGGTAAGCCACACCCGGAGTGCTATCTAACATGCGCCAAGCGCTTCCAACCTCCTCCCACGTCTCCGTCAAGCGTGTTAGTTTTCGAAGATTCCCCTAATGGGGTCCAGGCGGCCTTGAATGCTGGTATGCAGGTCGTACTTGTTCCGGATCCGCGTTTGGACAAACGGTATCGAGACTACCCAACGCTGTGCATTGACTCTTTGCTTGATTTCAAACCGGAAATGTTCGGGTTACCTTCCTTCGCTGAATCTCATTAGGAAAAGCTTTGTCTAGCCCATTGTTGTCTTCTTTAAGTCATTTTACGTTGCTGTGAATTCATGCCATATTCTTCTAGTCACCTCAAGCCATCTAGTCTTACCAGTGCATGTCGTGCTTAACATAGTGGCCATTGTTGCCTAGTACTTGCCGACTTGATCTGTCTCCCGTGCTCAAATTGCTTCCGTGACAATTTTACTACTTAGTAAATTTCGCTGCACGTCTGGTATTTTTGCCTCAGCATGTCATAATTTCTGAGATGATCGAAATCATGTAACGGCAGTTAGTTACAAAATGCTGTCGTCATGGTAACAAGGTCAAACCTCGTCTTAGGCTTTAGCGGTTAGCAAGAAACCCGGGAATTCCTTG